ATAATATTTGTTATTTAGTTATGTTAGTTATTATAGTATATAATATTTGGTAGTCTGTCTGTACCGTTACATCCGCCTTCGGTCCGGTACTACGTAGTATATATATATATACATATATATATATATATATATATATTATGTGTGTGCGTGTGTGTGTGTTTGTGCGTGCTTGCGTGTATGTGTGTGTTCGTGTGTGTGTGCGTGTGTATGTGTGTATGTGTGCCTGCGTCACTGCGTGGGTGTGCGTGTGTGTGTGTGTGCACGCGTGCATGCATGTGTGTGTGTGTGCACGCGTGTGTGTGCGTGCGTGCGTGTATGTGTGTGTTCAACAGTGTAGATGTGATCGTGGTATGAGAATACATGAGTAATGCAAACCATCACAGCATGGTTAGATGGTTAGCTTTATACGGTTCTTTCACTAATCCGTAGTTCGACGACGAAATAGATGATAATATTTGTTATTTAGTATGTTATTATATAGTATATAATGTTTGGATGACATAATGGTTGAAACGGATAAATAAAAGCGAATTTTCTGGTATAATATATATATTATTATATATATATAACTTTATTTTGTCATACATGCCGCTCTAACTGAAAGCTAAACAGCGCGTCTGTGTTATATGTACTCACAATAATATATGTAATACCAAATACGCATACCAAATAATACAATGATATCGTGCTATTTAATGTGATAATGACATAGATATTGACAGATTGGTGACCAGGTTATTTTTTAATTGATATAAATCGGAACACCGTAGCGGCCGTTATGGGTAGCACCTAATAGGTCGAATAGCATGAAATAGAGATAAAACGATTTTAACATCAAAGATGCAGTGATGACGAAGCAGTGATTACGCGAAACATGTGGTAAACAGTACAGTGCGTGTATATAATCCATCCCTTAATAATTCCATGATCCATGATCAAACGTAAACTATATTAAGTTATAGCAGGTGCGTGTATATGACTACAAGTAGGCCTTATGTATATATTACGAATATCTGACTAGCTCACTCTGTATAGGTTATCGCTGCTTGTGAAGCTTTTTTCACTTTTTGTGATAGCCACCTCCGTAGCCTCCGTAGCCTCCGTAGCCTACGTAGCCTCCGTGACCTCCGCCGCCATTTCCGTTTCCGCCGAACCCTCCTCCTCCGGCTCCTCCTCCGGCTCCTCCTCCGAATCCCGCGCCGAATCCAGACACGCCGAATGTGTTTCCCCTTATTCCCGTGGCGCCCGACGCGGCAAGATGGCCGCCGTAGGTGTTCACCCCGCGTCCGTGCTCGTAGCCGCCGTAGGAGCCGTGGCCTCTGTAGGAGCCGTATCTTGAGCTGTCGTAGTAGCCGCCCTGGTCGTCACTGCCGCCGTAGTCCTCGGCGTCTAGAGCACGAGCATTCATGAGGATATACGGGACTGACCATGCGTCTGCGGCAGTGCTGTTAGCGCGGTGAGACGGGGGCGCTCACACTTTTTGGGGTGATCGCTGCTAACTTTGACGTAAACTAGGTGGTTCAATTGCTGCGCGGATTATTATTTACCTGTCTGTTTGCATCATATCCGGTGCTGCAAATACGCTGTCCTGATGTTTGCGTGCGTGCGCGCGCGTGCGTGAGTCAGTGTGTGCGCGCGTGTTCTATACCATATTATATCCCCATATTATTACCATATGATAAACTATATTACTATATTACTATACTTTACTTTACTATATAACTTATATATACTATATTATATATGTTGTATATTACCATTGTCCTTCTCCCATCCCGCGCTCTATCCTACTCTTGCATTACCCCGTCCACCCCTATCGTACTCTTGCCTTACCCCGTCCACCTCTATCCTATTCTTGCCTTACCCCGTCCACCTCTATCCTACTCTTGCCTTACCCCATCCACCCCTATCGTACTCTTGCCTTACCCCGTCCACCCCTATCCTACTCTTGCCTTACCCCGTCCACCCCTATCCTATTCTTGCCTTACCCCGTCCACCCCTATCCTACTCTTGCCTTACCCCGTCCACCCCTATCGTACTCTTGCCTTACCACGTCCACCCCTATCCTACTCTTGCCTTACCCCGTCCACCCCTATCGTATTCTTGCCTTACCCCGTCCACCCCTATCGTACTCTTGCCTTACCCCATCCACCCCTATTGTACTCTTGCCTTACCCCGTCCACCCCTATCGTACTCTTGCCTTACCCCGTCCACCCCTATCCTATTCTTGCCTTACCCCGTCCACCCCTATCCTACTCTTGCCTTACCCCGTCCACCCCTATCGTACTCTTGCCTTACCCCGTCCACCCCTATCGTACTCTTGCCTTACCCCGTCCACCCCTATCCTAATACGCCTCCACGCTCCTTATAAATCCCTACTCTGCCTTACCCCATCCACTATACGCTAACTCTTGCCTTACCCCCGTCCACGAGGAAACCTATCCGTATTTTCTTAGCCATTACCCGATCCATCCCTATCCTAATTCTTGCTTACCCGCCGTCCTACGCCGCTATCTGGTACTCTTTGCCTACCGCGCGTCCAACGACCTAATCGTACTTCTGCCTTACGCCCATCCACGCCCTTATCTACGCTCTTCGCCTTACCCCATCCACGCCTATCCATCTTGGCCTTACCCCGTCCACTACCCTATCGTACTCCTGCTTACGCCCATCCACCCCTATCCTAACTCTTGCATTACCAGCCGCTGTCCACCCGCTACGTACTCCATTGCCTTAACCCCGTCCACCCCTATCGTACATCTGCCTTACCCGTCCATCCTACCTATTCTTGCATTACCACCGTCCACCCGTTAATCGTACTCTTTGCCTATACGCCCGTCCACGCCCTATCCCTATTCTTAGCCATTACCCCCCCCGTCCACGGCCTATCCTATTCTTGGCCCTTAACCCCCATCCACCCCTATCGTACATCTTGCCTTACCGCCGTCCATACCTATCCTATCTGGCCATATACGCCCCATCCACCCCTATCGTACTCTTGGCCTTACCCCGCCACCCCATTCCTATTCCTGTGGCCATTACCCCGTCCCACCCCTATCCTATTCTTGCCTTACCCCCGACCCGTCACTCCCTATCCTACTCTTGCCTGATACCCCATCGCACCCGCTATCCTACTGCTTGCGCTTACCCGTCCACACCCCTATTCGTACTACCTTGCCTTAACCCCAATCCACCCCTATTGTACTCTTCCTTACCCCGCTCCCACCCCTATCGGTACTCTTGCCTTACGCCCATCCAACGCCTATCCTAA